AATTGATTACATTGAGAGAAAGAAAATAGTGAAGCACGAATTTATAGCAGAGGAATATATGCATTCTTTGAGATATACTTTGAAGTGATTGAGAATTCGAAAACCTATTCTACGAATCAAACAGTAGAAATTATATTCTACAAATTTTTAATACAATTTCAAACCAAAACCCAAGATATACGGCAGATACCAAAAATAACTGGAACATGGTTAAATGATTCTAATTTTCCAAAATTCGAGATTTACAATCGAATAAAAAGATAGAAAAGTATTAATTAATTAAAACACACTAAAGTATTACTTGATATAACAGTTATCTAGAGATAAATTAATGAATGAAATCTCTTTTAGTAAATCAAACCCTACAAATGAAAGTTTTTCAAACGATTTTCAAGGAATAAACCTTACAATACAAAATTTTCCACAGCAATTTTTTTTTCTTTCACATTAAATTTTTTTTTAATTCTAGTTTTTTAAAAGAATACTCTTAAGAAAAAAAGAAACCGAGGTTCCACCGAGATTTGAACTCGGATCACTGGATTCAAAGTCCAGCGTGCTAACCATTACACCATGGAACCACCTGCCCTTGTGCATAAAAGAAAGCGTGTCTTGAATCTGAACTGAACTAAATTTACGTGATCTTGTTACAGCTGCTTATAAGACATCGAAATTTATTATAGTCAGTCGCACACTGTTGTTAGGTAAACCAAAAAAATCAAGTTCGTTCAAGAATTGTTTGAAAAAATTCATGTAACCCTTTTGACATAACATTGCTTAGATATGTAGCACACAACGTGAAATAATAACCAAATATTTTAGGAAAATCATCCCGGAATATTTTAATCTAGAAACGAATTTACCTGTAATTTTTGAGGATTTTATACATATTACATTTTAAATAACAGCATTTTTTTTAAATTAAAAAGTGGAACCTAATTTTTTTTAAATCATCAAGCAACTACTGAAAAGAAATCTGACGCCGATATAACGAATGTAACAGCTGGAGTTGCGCATAATGACAAAAAATAAATAAAAAGAACGAAAAGAATAAAAATTGGCTCCCAAATACTGCACATATTAGCACATCTTGTAGAAATACGATTTTATAAAGGATTCAGAATTGAGATTTCTCTTCCTTTCCGAACTAAGTACAAAAATAGCTCCAATTCCATTTAAAAACACTCATGTCAGCAGCAAAGAAAGCAAAATGATAGTTTGTAATATAAATCGAAAAGAGAGAACTGCATGTTGTAATATACATTATGGAGATACGTGGAATTTTTTAAAAGACGTTCAAATGAAGCTCAAAATCCTTAGTAATAAGTTCCACAGGCTTAATCATTACTCCTGTCATCCATATACCGAGAATTATAGCCAATATACGTAGATACACGTAAATATGTATTAACTTACTCAGAAATGAGGGAAGTGACTCAAGGAGAGAGACAGAAAAACAGATTCTTCTAAAATCAAAATCTTTTCAAGATATTTTTCCCCCTTTAGAGGTATGTAAAAAACAAAATTCTCGAAAGCAACATCAAAACAAAGGATTGATTTATTTTAATTTACGTCTCACTTTGAAGCAACACGAAGGTTATTGGTCAACTGACGGTCAAGTGACGACACCTGAGCTGGTAGTCCCTCTCCGAACTACCACACCATCCCAGAGGGAACATTTTGAACCTCGACAGATTTAACGTGTATTAGCCCTACACGCGGCAGGTTTTCCTTCAGCGGCATTAGGACTACCGTGACTCGACAACGCTAACCACGAGCATCCGACTATTACCATTCAGCTACCACGGTCAGCTACCAATTATTCCCGTTTTTGAACCGTTAGACCTACAGACTTGAAATCATGGTGGTGCGTTTCTTTCATAGAATAGAAAACTTCTAAGTTGAGGTTTTGCGAAAATCGACCCTCAGGGGGTATTGCGAGGGATTGAAGGGGTGTTATAGAAAAATGTTCCACTTGTGAACTACAGACTTGAAATTCAGCAGACATGTTCCTTTCTTGGAGTAGAGATCTTCTAAAGTAGGGTTTGCCAAAATCTACCCCCAAGGAATTTTCGAAGGTGTTTCATATTTAAAAAATCCCTTTAATTAACTACTAAACCCTTCATACAACGTTGAAATTTGGAAATCACGTTACTTTTGATGAGCAGAGAACAGCTTAGAGGCGGTTTTCGAAAGTCGACTCAAAAGGGGGTTTCGGGGACGTTATAAATAAAAAACAAACATCTTTTTATATGATTTTTTGTTGAGCAGCGATATGCTGAAAGCTATTTTTGTTGTTGTTGTTGTTGTTTAATTTGTAATTCCTTAAAATTTTAACTCATTAAAAACTTTTTTATCCTTCATTCTCTATTGTTTTATTTTGCAATTCATCCGTGCGATGAACAAGTATAACAGCTAGTTCAGGGATGGCGAACCAATGGCACGTGACACAATATTTTAAGCTCGCCACCGATCAAGACGATTTGCATTTTAGTACAAAATAACAAAGTTCACTATGAAGTATTACGAACACAAACGCGAGTGATTGGCCGCGAAGTGGCGCGAAGCACGTTCGTTTGTTATTGTATTCTAATTATTATTACAAAAAACTATAAGTACTTCCTTATCTTGAAAAAAATATATCAAAAATTTAGATGTACATGAGAAACCAGATTAAGAAAAAGCTACCGAAGAATTTATTTCTGTAATTGATTCTTCAATCAAGGAATTTTCAGCCAGTTGTCTCCAAAGAACTATCGGAAACGATTAAGTTTATCGTATATTCTGGTGTGTACTTTACTTGATAAACTGAACTTGTCTCAATTCGATTGGTTAGAAATTGAAGAATTTGAAATGCAATTGTGTGTGATTGTGATTTCCAGTCTAGTTCAATAAGAATTCAAAAATTTATTGAAATGAGGAAAAAGTTGGAATTGAGATTGAAATAGAGAGAGATTAACAAGAAATGTAAGTAAAAATGCCAGTAACGATATTTTGGGCTCATGGAATTCGATTTCAGACACATTTAACTATTTGAAGAAGCTGTCTTATACTATTTAAACCCGGTATGGTCATTAAGTCGATCGCGATCACCCGGTAGATCGCCAAGACGTTTTGGGGCGACCGCCTAAGACGCGCACACTAAAAGAAACATGTTTATGGAACACCGACGCCAGGTAGACAGGAGAATAGGCCACCGATGAATTATGTTTACCAAACAAACAATTCAAAATTGGTGTGACGACATTTTTCCATCGGGGGAAGCAAACGCGCTTAATGGTTTGCGTCGCTGTGGGGGAAAAAAAGTGATCACTGCGATGCCAACCGTAGAAAAGAATTTTTTCCCACACACCGAGTGAAGGAGAGGGTAAATGTCGGTGATCAGTTTTTCCCGTAAAAGCACGGGATTGAGTATTGAGACATCATCTTATACCTCGCACTTTCACGGGGTAGTTTCTCGAGTTGATACTATGGCCCACGATCACGGGGTTCACGCACGTTCTCTGTTCATGTTAAATACGCCCCCCCCAAGGTCGATCCTAAAACGATTTTTGGTTCCTTTTTTTTTGTAGATTAAAGGGGGTGTGACGAACACAAGTGTTAAAAAAAGCATTAAATTTTTATTATAAGAAAGGATCAAGAAGAAGGACAGTTTTCGCCACCCCCCTCCGGGGTGGTCCCCCTTTAAATATGTTCCATACTTGTCAATTAAAAATTTTTTCTTTCAACCGGTAAAGTCCTCAGCTAAAATGAGAAGCTTTTTTTTTTTTGAACGGCTCTGGCTGTTGTTAAAAAAATTTTGATAGCATCTTTTTTAAATTTTTTGGAACTTTCAATTATTTCTTTTTTTTTTTTTAATTATGATGAGATTTAAAACCGTTTTGGGAAAGGGACCCGTTTTTTGAAGCCGTGGGCAAAACATTCAATTTTATTATTACAGAATACATACACTGCTGGGTGGATCGCAACACCTTAAAAACATTAGAAGTAGCCCGTACCCTGAGAAAGTCCGCCCACTCCTGATTTAAACTATATTTTCATCTACCCATGCCTGCGAAACATTATTCTCAGAAATGAATGGCATTAAAGACTCGCTTAGAAATTGTTTGGTAGATGACTCCAAATCAGAATGCATTCTGCTAAAAGTAACATCTTACAATCCTAATATAAGCTATTTTCCCTCTAATCTGCAACAGCAGAAATCATACTAATGTTACTTTAATTCGAACTGAACCTATAATTAAAACATTTTAGTATTTCAGCGCAAAATTTTATTTTTTCGTAGTAAATGGAGATTTTTTGGGTTGTTAGTACTTATTTTTTATTTTTTTCCCTAATAATCACAAGTCAAAATTATTTGACGGCAAGTCTTCCCCTCATTATACACTTTTTAGAAAAAAAGGGTCGTTGATCCAAAAAAGGTTCGTCAATTCCCCTCTCTTTTTGAGTTTAAGTTATTTTTAAAAGTTTACAAAAATCGTAGTTACGATCATCAAGTAATATGTCATTGCTAAAAAAGCTTTTGATCGTTTGGGACCCTAAAATTTTTTTGAAGTATTTATTTAGTACACGAATGTTCTTTTGAAAAATGAGTCACAAAAAAATATCTTCTTACGTAAAATAAATTGGCAACATCATGAACAAAAAGAATAAATCTCTCAGATTCATAAATATTGGAGTAACTATGAATATAATCCACACAAACTTGATATTTAGAACCCCTTTACTCATTGAAATTAGAAATATGATTTCTCTATTTTTTCCAAACTAAAAAAATTTCTTTTAGCCTTTTTCGATTTATAACTTTTTGAAACACAAAAGTACGCGTAAAAATGTCAACTCTTAGAATTTAAAAACTCAGTTTTATAACTTAATTTTAATAAAAATTTGTTCCACTTATTCCATGTATGATTTGTCGTACGTAATTTCCCATGGGATAAATTTAAAACTAAATTAACAAAAATTCTGAAAAAATGGAGCTGAAAAGAAAGTAAAAAAAGAAAAGGTTCCCCCCGAGTTTTTAACTCGGATCACTGGATTCAAAGTCCAGCGTGCTAACCATTACACCATGGAACCACCTGCTACGAATGCACTGTTTCTTTAAGATATGCGATGTTTTGAGTCAATTCTTTCGTGCAAAAATCTGTTACAGGTGCTTACATTTTTCCATAAAGTCTTTCGGAGTCTTTTTTTCTCAATGAGAATTCGTATGTAGGTTTGCCGTGTTTACGCACAAAATCACGCTTGGTGTAGTGTTGTTTCCCCCGTTATTGCATGGGGTTGCAAAAATTTAAACCCTCGATAAGTATTCCCCCGGTTTTTCCCTTTTTCTGTTTAAAGTCTGAGCTTGAAAATCTGATGAAAATCAGGTGGTTCCATGGTGTAATGGTTAGCACGCTGGACTTTGAATCCAGTGATCCGAGTTCAAATCTCGGTGGAACCTGGCTATCATTTTTCCTCTAGTTATAATGTATTTTTTAATATTTTTTTATATAATGGTATTTAAGATAAATATAAAAATTTCAGCATATAACAAATTTTTGTAGTTAAATGCATTTGTTGATAATTTAACTCGTACAACGCGCAACATATTCGACCTATACCATATTTGGTTGCACTATTTCATTTAGATTTATTTTTTATTTCTAAGAAGCAGTTTTACAGCTACTTACTTAAATAACTTCGGTTTTCGAAAGTCGATTCAAAAGGGGATTTTGGGGACGTTATAAATAAAAAATAAACATATTTTTTCAGCTATTAGATCTGCAAACTTCAAATTTGGCAAATATGATTTTTTGTTGAGCAGCGATATGCTGAAAGCTTTTTTGTTTTTTGTTTAATTTGTAATTCCTTAAAATTAACTTATTAAAACTTTTTTATCCTTCATTCTCTATTGTTTTTTTTTTACAACCCTCCGTGCGATGAACAAGTATAACACCTAGTTCAGGGATGGCGAACCAATGGCACGTGACACAATATTTTTTAAACACGCCACCGATCAAGACGATTTGCATTTTTGGGACAAAAAAAACAAAGTTCACTATAAATATTACGAACACAAACGCGAGGGGATTGGGCCCCGAAGTGGGCGCGAAGCACGTTCGTTTGTTATTGTATTTCTAATTATTATTACAAAAAAACTAGAAGTACTTCCCAGTCTTGAAAAAAATATATTAAAAGTTTAGATGTACATGAGAAAATAGACGAAGAATAAGCTACCGAAGAATTTATTTCTGTAATTGATTCTTCAATCAAGGAATTTTCAGCCAGATTTTCTCGAAAGAATTATCGGAAATGATTAAATTTATCATACATCGTGATGGTCTTTACTTGATAAACTGAACTTGTTTCAATTCGATTGGTTTGAAATTGAAGAACTTGAAATGCAATTGTTTGTGTGATTGGATTTCCAGTCTAGTTCAATAAGAATTCAAAAATTTATTGAAATGAGGAAAAAGTTGGAATTGAGATTGAAATAGAGAGAGAGATAAACAAGCAATATAAGTAAAAATGCCAGTAACGATATTTTGGGCTCATGGAATTCGATTTCAGACACATTTAATTGTTTGAAGAAGCTGTCTTGTGCTATTTAAACCATATCTATATCTATCTGCATATGCCTGAGAGTCATTATTTTCCGAAATGAATAACATTCAAGACTCGCTTAGAAACCGTTTGGCACATGACTCCACAATTCAGCATGCATTCTGCTAAAAGTAACATATTACCATCCTAATATAAGTTATTTTTCCTCTAATCTGCAACAGCAGAAATCACACTAATGTTACTTTAATTCGAACTGCACCTATAATTAAAACATTTACTACTATACAGGGAAAAATGTATTTTTTCATAGTAAATAAAGAGTTTTGTGTTGTTAGTATTTAGTTTTACAATTTTCCTAATAATCACAAGTCAAAATTATTTGACTGCACTTCTGTGCCTCATTATACGCTTCTTTAGAAAAAATGGCAAGTTGATTCATAAAGGTTTGCCACCCTGTGAGCTAGTTATTTTATAAAGATTACTAAAATCATAGTTACGATCATCAAGTAATATGTCATTGCTCAACATAGCTGTGATCGCTTGTGCCTGAAATTTTTTTAAAGTATTTATTTAGTACACGGATGTCTAGTTTAGTCACGGATTCTTTTGAAAAATGAGTCACACACAAAAAAATCTTTTTACGTAGAATAAATTGGCAACATCATGAACAAAGAGAATAAATCTCCCAGATTCATAAATATTGGAGTAACTATGAATATAATCCACACAAACTCTGCTATTTAGAACTCATTACTCATTGTATAGAAATGATTTCTCCATTTCCACACTTTACAAGCTAAACAACCCTCTCTTTTATCTTTTTCGATCTATAACATTTGATTAACATGTGTGCGTATTATGTAGCACGTATAACATTACATTGTATTATGCACGAGTAAAAATGTCAAAGTCTAGAATTTAAAAACTCAGTCTTATAATTTAATTTTAATAGAAATTTGTTCCGTTTATTCCATATGCATGTTTATGTTCACAATTTCCCATGGGTTTAATTTAAAATTAAATTAACGAAAATTTTCTGAAAAAATGGAGCTGAAATGAAAGTAAAAAAGTGACGACAAGGTTCCACCGAGATTTGAACTCGGATCACTGGATTCAAAGTCCAGCGTGCTAACCATTACACCATGGAACCACCTGCTACGAATGCACGGTTTCTTTTAGATATGCGGTGTTTTGAGTTAATTCTTTCGTGC